GGAAGAAGAGATGAGCAGCACCCAGCCCCCAGCCAGAGTGAGACTGGCCCTCGCCAGCTCCAAGCTGGATGGCAGAGAAGGCCTACCCTGTCCCTCTAGGTCCAGGGCTGCTGTCCCCCTCCACTTAAGGTGCTCAAGGGGCCCTGCAAAGGCTGGAAGCAGGGAGATTTCAGGAGGCCAAGGTGTCTGGCAGCAGCACAAGGGCCTCTGTGGAAGGCTGACTTCTTTTTGTTTTGTTTCGTTTTTTTGAGATGGTATCTTGCTCTGCTTACCCAGGCTGGAGTACAACGGAGCCATCTCAGCTCTCTGCAACCTCCGCCTCCTGGGTTCAAGCAATTCTCCTGCCTCAGCCTCCCAAGTAGCTGGGACTACAGGCGCCCACCACCATGCCTGGCTAATTTTTGTATTTTTAGTAGAAATGTGGTTTCACCATATTGGCCAGGCTGGTCCTGAACTCCTGACCTCATGTGATCCGCCCGCCTCAGTCTCCCAAAGTGCTGGGATTACCATCATGAGCCATGAGCCACAAGCCCAGCCTGGGAGACTGACTTATAAGAGGCCCTCCAGCAATCTACCTCCTGGGATTCAATCCCTGGTGTAATCCCCTCCCCCTGACAGCAGCCTGGCAGGTGACATGCTTCTAACCAACAGCAGAGAAAGGCCATTGCCACCAAATCATGCTGTACAAGGCCAGGACCAACCTCATCGTGCTGCACCGTCCTGTGCCCTCTGCTCAGAATGACGACATAGCTGCCATATGGAGAAGCCCACCTAGCCAGAAACCTAGGGCCAGTTCAGGCCAGCAGCCACACGTGTGAGCTTGAAGGTGGGTTGCCCTGGCCCCGCCTTGAGATGAGGGCTTGGCCTCAGCCAGCAGCTTGAGTGGAGCCCTGTGGGAGCTGGAAGGAGGACCCTGCTAAGCCACACCCACATTCCTTGCCCCCAGAAACTGTGGGATAATCAAGACTGTTCCTGTACACAATGAGGCTTTAGGGTGAATGCTGCGTTAATGACTCACGACAGACCCCTACCTCCGCACTTCTGCCCAAGGGGTGGGGTCCTCTGGAAACTCTGGGGTACGCGTTTTCTCTGAGGAGCGCAGCCAGCGCTGTCAGCCATCACCCCTCTCAAAACCGCATCTGGGGCCACCAGGGAATGCTACATGCCCCCATGTTCATGTTCACCTCAAGGACTGGGTTCCAGAGGCCTGACGGGGTGACCAGAACCCCTTTGGGCGGAACTGTCCCCTCTCAGCCTCCACGAAGCAGCGAGGATCCCCTGGTGTGGGCATCACACTTCCTCGGTGCCTGCTGTTGATATCCTTGCCTGAAGGCCTTACCCAGCCCATTAGTGCAGCCCAAGGAGTGAAGGGATGAGCAGGGATGAGGGGGCCCTGAGCAACACCAACTCCATTTGTCTTACGTTATTATTATGATGCGGTTGGCCTCCTGCCATCCCCTCCTTTAATCCCTAGAGCCATCCTCTGCGGTAGATGCTGCTATGCCCATTTCAGACGGGAACATGAAGGCCATGATGCAGCTATGAAGCAGCACAACTGGGACGGGATGACAAGTCTGCATTCCACATCCCACCACACAGAAAGCGCCAGGCCAGGCAGCAGGCGCCAGGAATACCCTACACAGTCAGCGTCTCTGCTGGAACCTCAGCTATGGAGTCTGAGGGTGGCTTTTCCTGAAAACTTGATGAAGTTTGTTACCAAGTGGCTTGGGGTCCCATCCACACATTAAAATGCAAACAGCACAAATAAAAACAAAAAACCCTAGGGTTTTTTGTTTTTTGTTTTTTTTGAGACAGAGTTGCCTTGGCTGGAGTTCAGTGGTGCAATCTCGGCTCATTACAACCTCCGCTTCCTGGGTTCAAGTGACTCTCATGCCTCAGCCTTCTGAGTAACTGGAACTACAGGCATGCACCACCACACCTGGCTAACTTTTGTATTTGTAATAGAGATGAGGTTTCCCCATGTTGGCCAGGCTGGTCTTGAACTCCTGGCCTCAAGCAATCCACCTGCCTCGGCCTCCCAGAATGCTGAGACAACAAGCATAAGCCACTGCACCTGGCCAGGATCCTTAAATGTACAATTATATGCTGACGGGTGATTAAATAGGCATGCTTCTCCCCCGAAACCAACCAAGGTTCAAAGCAGAAGCCAACACACCAATATGCCAAGCACTTTCAGTTTGGCAGGTACTGAAATGTGACTTCTCCTAGCAGACCTTTCAAATTTGCCTCCGTGGAAAACAAAAGATGCTGCAATCTAGCCAGGCAGGTGACTCACCCCTGTAATCCTGGCACTTTGGGTGACCAAGGTGGGCAGATCACAAGGTCAGGAGTTTGAGACCAACCTGGCCAACATGGTGACACCTGTCTCCACTTAAAAAAAAAATGGCCAGGTGCAGTGGCTCATGCTTGTTAATCCCAGCACTTTGGGAGGATAAGGTGGGCGGATCACAAGGTCAGGAGTTTGAGACCAGCCTGGCCAACACAGTGAAAACCCAATACATGTACAAAATGTATTTTAAATTTTGTAAAAACACAAAAATTAGCTGGGCATGTTGACCGGCATCTGTAATCCCAGCCACTTGGGAGGCCAAGGCAGCAGAATCCCTTGAAACCTGAAGACAGAGGTAGCAGTAAGCCACGATCGTGCCTCTGCACTGGAGCCTGGGTGAAGACTCAAACTCCATCTCAAATTTAAAAAAAAGAACTATTTAATTAAACAAACAAAAGGTCCTGAAACCCATCAATTAATCATAAGAGCCACCCCCACAGGTCCAGAAAGCCAAAAGTGGCTGGGCCTTGGGCTCAGGCAGAGGCTGCTAACTCCTGGGAAACCCTACTGACATCTTCCTACCACAGGGATGGAGGAGTCAGCAACTTGGTGGCAGAATTGCTGAAAGAGAACGGAAGGACAGGTTCCTGACAGGCCAGCAGGAAACAAGAACAGCTTCACAATACATGGAAAACCTCGGGGGAGGTGGGATGACAGCCCTGATAAGCTGACCACAGCCGTGTGTGGAAAGACAAGAAAAGGACTCCCTGATGACGGGGACGAGATAGCAATCAGTGTGGGATTGTGAAGAATTCATCATGCTGGGCAAACTTAATTTAGTTCTGACACTTCTTGGTTCGATGTACAAGAGTCGAGAATAAAGACAGCTCAGGCCGGGCGCGGTGGCTCAAGCCTGTAATCCCAGCACTTTGGGAGGCCGAGGCTGGTGAATCACGAGGTCAAGAGATCGAGACCATCCTGGTCAACATGGTGAAACCCTGTCTCTACTA